CGAGACGAGGAGAGACCCTCAGTCTTATTCTCCTTCATCCACCACTACCATCACAGAGGGGTCTTACCAGACACTCTCAGTGTGCTATACATTTGTATTCATTCTCATATCTGTGATAATGCCGCTCACCTTCGTCAGTAAGTGTCACTTCACAGACAGCCAGCTGGCCTCGTCAGTGAGCACGTCGTATAGCCACAGCTCGTCGCTGTAGGCTCTTACCCAGAGGCCCTCAAGGGAACTCTTATTTTAGGTTGTCTATCTTTGTCATTGGTGTGCCGTGACATTAGAATAAGACTGACCTTTTACGCCCCAATCAAGTGTCTAACACTGGTTGCCACGCATTTTTACCCAGAGATACATCCGCCCAGGGCAGGGCTATTTTCACATCACTTTTCTCATACACTTCCTCCACGTCTCTACCACCTAAGCCGCTCCCTTCCTTCAAAAGGAACAGCGCTGCACCTCGAACCATCAACGGTACCGTTCTGCCCAATAGACGTTATCATCCCTATCAACGACAGCCTAGAGTCCGTCGCTTGACTCAAGGCAACCTCGTTCAAGCACAGCAGCCTGAAGGTGGTCTCATAGGTCGTACAGCCGAACGTCGAATCCAAGAGCGTAAGGTTAGCCTTTGGATTAAAAGCATTCCCAAAGAGACACCTAACCCGTCCACCCCACTTCTACCTCCACATCCCTATGCTACCTTTCCCGCCATCGACGTTATCAACTTCGCGCTCTCCAAGAGCTACCATCCCCACAGTATCCACAAGAATCCCAAAGGGACGCTCTCTAAAAACATCGGTCCCACTGTACACGCTACTATTCAGCAATACAAAGTCTTGCAGCAGCTGCACATCGCTGCCAAGTTCACCGAGGAACAGATAAAGTGTCGAGATAGAATTCTTTGACACCTAGGATCAATAAACGCACGCATTGGAGACGGACACGATTTCACTTTCGTCGATAGGTGCATCACTATTAAGCTTTGCGTAGGTCTAGGAAAGATCTCCTTCAAAGGGATCAATAAAGAGCAGGCGCGGGTAGGAAAGGAACTAGTAAAGTTTGAGAAGGAGTCGTGCTACTGGCCTTACTAAGCCAGTTATATCAATTTGTATCACTTGTACATGCCGCGA